TTTGCTTCTTGTAAATAATAAAAATCAGATAAATATAAATATTTTACATATAAATATTTTACAGCGGTAGTTATTGCGAACAAGTTTTCAAAATTTTATCACTTGCGTTATAATTTAATAGCAATAATAATAAAATTGTAATGACAATACTCGAGAAAATTCGAGCACGTGGTGGTGTTGGTGTTGGTGTTGTTGGTGGTGGTGTCGTGCATTCCTACTTGGCGGGTCCGTGCATTTCTTGATATAAATTTGGTACAAAACCAGTACCAGTTTTCTATAGAAAGCATATTAACAATAACTCGTCAAAAATAATCACGTTAAAAGCTTAAAAACAAACATACAGCATTAGAATACTATGAGCACGTGCAAAGTAAGTACTTTGGAATTCCTGGCACGAACCCGCCAAGTAGTACTCGATAAGGAATCACCTAAAGTTTTATTAATTATTAAATCACCATTAAATCATAATTAAATACGGGAAGCAGTAGTAACATAAAAAAGTAGCGAAAACGTTATAGGAAATATCGAAAATATAATTAAAATGATGGGCCAGTGCTAGATCATATAATAGGAAAACATGTAGTGACTTATGTACTTGGCCTCAATAATATGATATCAATACTTTTTGTTAGAGGAATTCACAGCAATCCTGTACTTGGCGTAGTTTTTTACACGTAAGTGTTTTTTGGGGGATAAGGAGTTGACTCGAGTAAAGAGTCTCGGCGCGCTGCGCCCTGTACAGCCGGTTGCCTCGAACAGTCTCAAACGTAATAAATATCGAACTTCTTTCATGTCTATCAATAAATCCTATGAGTAAAAAGTTCTGACTAATAATCTAAAAAATTTCTAATTTTTTCCTTTGCCACATACTAGTTTTTCATCGGAATTACGCGGACGAGTCAAGTGCAATAAAAAAAACCATGCGCGTTTTATTGGCCAGGTACAGGGAATACGTGTTACGAGTCCTGACAATAACTCGGAAATACTCGGAAACTGATGAGTGAATCGTGTTAAAAATTTGTAGAGAGATGTACTGCTATACAAATTAGACGTAAAACAAATTTCAGCTCGATTACGCGGATTTGAGTTTACCGTAGTAATACCTTAAAATCTTTCTACCTGGTCGGAAGAGAGATGAGATACGCCTTCCATTGTATGTACTACTTGTGTCGAATTCGTCGGGGCTACGAGTGACAGACAGGTAACGCGGCGGCAAGCTTGATGTGGGATAGAAACCGATGGTATCTCCCTGGTATACTCATTTTCCCATTCGAGCATCAGAGCGAAATTTTTTGAGAGGAAGGGAAACTGAGCAGGTAATAGGGGAATTAACTTACTAGAAGAGGTCTAATTGAATTAGCTCCCAACAGATTAAGTTATTGAAGATCCCAGTGTAATAGCAAACAGCGGAAGGAAAAGAAACAGATGGAGTGAATGCTGAATGGCCGAAGAAGATGCCTCACCAAGCTCCTAAGTGCGACCTCGGGACCGTACTGCCGTCTCACACTCGTGCTGTGTGAAAAGGACGTACCGAAAAACGCTTTGATATTTCACTCGCACCAACGTGCTCTATATGTTGCACGGACAGGCCAAAATACAAAAGGAGGCGCTGCCCACTCTCCTCTCTTACCTCACCGCATTGCATACACAAGTTGGACACCTTGGCTACATGCTGAATTTAAAGTCTCTGTTGAGCTCAAATGGAACTCATTTTACTATCTGGGTCTTCATTTCTCTACTTCAATTATAAAACCAACTCTATCACTCGCGTATCTCCTGCACATACCGCTCTGGAAATGGGAAAATGATGCATATAAAACGGTTTTATTATTTACGTTATCGTTATTAACACTAATGCATACTTTTCAAAATCGCGGACGTAGTATGCATAATAGTACATTATGCAACAAGGGAGTAAAGTAGTTGATTATTCCCGCGGGTGAGTTTACTCTCGTGTTACATATAGTGCTTTATTTACGACTAAACTATGTAGCCACTTTATTTCTTGAAAAGTGGGACATACTCAGCCACCGTCATTACGATGGAAATATACGTTTTTTCAAATATTCAAAAAAATTCAAAATTTTGCGGGAATAAAGTTGATTATTCCCGCAAAATGCGGGAATAAAGTAAATTTGCGGGAAAACCAAATATGCGGGAATAAAATGCTACTTTAGTCCTGCTTTTCAGGGAATAAAGTGGCTATTATAGCTCAGTCGTGAATAAATATATTTATTGGTTTTTTATATTTTCATACTATGATAATTGGGATTTTAAAATAAACAACTACCTGTATATCGTATACTGATGATGATAATAATAATAATAATTGTAATACACATATTTGACATTTTCACAATCATAACTAATGATCCATCATTCATTTACAAGTTTTTGGTCAACAAATAACAAAGGACGCAGAAAATGATAAATTTATCTGCACAAAACAGAGTGCACAATCGTGTCGACTAATATGCATTCATAAATATTTTTACATCCATTCTTCATTTATGTAGAATGTTACAAAATTACGGTATGACCACCATTTGACAGCAATTCTGCTTATATCATAATATTATAGACTGAGGATACCAAGCGTAGAACATCCTGTCGCATCAATGAAATGTTTGCCTTTATGAGTGAACTGCAACTTATAGCTTCACTAAATTGATAAATCCTCTAATCAGGCAGGAGGTTACCAGAAAACACATTTCGATTTTGAAAATTGTGCAGTATGTAAACTGCTACTGAAAATGTAAAACCTTTAGCAAACGGTACAATCTTAATGAAAGAAAAATGGATTCCAATTTTAAAAAATTCTTATAATTTCCAGTACTTTATATCAGCGAATAATTTGTACGTCAAGATAATATTTTGTTTCGTAACCTGTTCCTGCAGGTACACTAGAAGCATACGTTGTATGCGTGAAATTAGTCTCAGAGAAAGCAGACTAATAATTCATTCTTTATATCAGCATAAATTTTTATCTGCAATATGTCCTTTGTCTAAACTCAGATAAATTTTCCTTCTGTTAGAGCAATTAATGTAGCCACATATGCAAAAATATATATACAACTTCACAGTGCAAGTCCTCATTTCTCCAATGTCTACCACGAAACATGTCTCCTCGAGAATACGGCAAAACCTAAATTCAAGTAAAACTAATCCCCACTGTGCAATCTTTGAGTTGCTCAGTCCTCTTGTTTTTACCAGCTTCTGTCAAAGCCCTCTACATTAATGCACTTAGTTGCTTTCGGTATTTATTTCTTTCTCGCCCTCACCGTCACCTTCCTCTCGTGTCATGCCTTCGATTGGAGCATGAATATCTTCAATACCCGTGATACTACTGGATACTGATTGACTTGGACAAGATGAAATTGATGGTGGCCCATTTTGAGCAGCTCCTTGAGGAAACCCAGTTTCCGCTGATACTAAATGTGATGGCATATGTGGGGAAGCGGTTTGAGATTTTCTGCTCTTCTCTCCTTTTCTCCATAATGTTATTTCCTTTAAGAATATTAACAGAATAACTTGTGTCTATGGTCGAAAACAAAAGTTGGAAATATATTTTAAGCTTGGTTACCGAAGGATTACTTTCTCAGATTACCTGTTGTTTGAAGTAACGCCGATCCTCTTCGTCCATTAGAACTAAATTCAGATAATATCTGACACTAAATTTTTTATTAATATCGCGCATTGTTGGGGTCAGATCATACCCTGCCAAGAATACTCTTATAGGAATAGATTCGCCTCTAACCGGTGCTCCGTCCATTATTTCATATTTGGCAATAGTTTCGTTCTCAGTAAATGTATGGGGTCCTGCAAATATATACTCTAATTAACGTTGTAGCACCCACTGTATCAGTATAACACGCGCATTTCACAAAGATGTTGCGCAGAACATCCTCACAGGGAATAAAGGAGAGAATGGATATCCGAGAACAGGGTTTATTCAGAGTAGAACATATATGAACGTATGTTCAGTGTGACAGATAGAACATGAAGTAAGATTAACAAATTGACAGAAAACAAAAGCATCATCATATAGATCATCTTTTGTCGATCAGCGCTCATTCGTATTCCAACAAAAGAAAATATTTGTGCCAATATTATAAACATGAACTGTAAAAGACCAGTCATAAAACCGTAGTCCAAGCAAAGTAGACAATTTTTCTATGTTAACTTCCCAAAAACACACATCATGATAACTTGAGGGAATATGTGGAATGCATAGACAAATTGAATTATCAACTCTTCTATTTCAATTTTATTTTTTAAAAAGGTGCGGCGAGACCTTCGCTCAGAACACTAATCAAACTGTAATAGATATGTGAAAATAGTATATGACAAAATTAGTAGAGGATAAAATAAAAGTTTGGTCAGAATTCTGACCGAAAGATCCCTGCGCGATTTTTTTTAATTTTTAATTTTTGTTGCCTACACGTCGATAAAGTAGATGTTGATTTCTTAATTTATCTATGCGTTCCATATGTTGCCTCAAATTTTCATACTGTTATCACTTCTTAGGAAATTAAAATCCTTTGTAGCTAGACTAAAGATATTATAATGGTAGTAAAACCTAGCCATCCTTTTTCAATGAAATTATTACATTACATTCACAATTAATTGGCTTACCTGAACCTGTTGTTTCCCGTTTTATAATGGCTATTTCCATATGTTTGATTTTGATTCTAACGAGCAAAAAGTATATTTTTCCAACAATTACGTCTTTTAAATGATATCTGAAACAAAGATACTCGTTAACTTTTGTCTTTGAAAAAAAACAATTATACGTCACTGTCACCAATGCTGAAACATTAACACTAATATTCAGATTAATAAAAAAAAGAGATAATAAAATTTATAAATAAAATAAAATGACGTGCAATAATAAATGCATGAGAAATGTTACTCACTTGCTTTTGTTATACTCAAATTCAATATGCAGACAGTCTTCGATGCCTACTTCCATTTTGATAGGATTATTCATGTCTGGATAAGAACTCAGCGTATGCACAACTAATTCAAGTTCCTTAACAATGTCACTAAGTCTCCGAACAATTGTTACTCGAAGAAAGTATCGCAGCCGAACATTTGAACCTGTGTAACTCTCAAAAGGTTTTTCAACATTAGCAAATTCAAAAGGGTATACTGTATTATGGGTCAGTTCCCCTGGCCTCGCTAGCTCTTTCACGAGACTGGTAAACTCATGATGGTTACCCCTATCATAGTACAGCTCTATTTGTCCGATAAATTCAACCTTGACCCCCTGATGCTCCAACTTGCCAGCCTTTCGTAGACTAATACTTATCTGTAAAAAAATGTGTAGTCCAACATTTTAAATAAATTATTAAAAATCAGGATCATAGATATCCAATGCATTGAAATCAGATCTAATATTTGAAATATTTTTTTTTGTAACAATTTATTCATTTATTAGCTATACGTCAAGTAACAGAGGTATTTTGTAAAATTAATATTATTTGATAAACCAGGCCATAGATAAACTAAAAGCAGGGAGTTTATTTAATCTTTAAGTACTGAGGTATCATTTTTGTTCTATGAATAGTGTCAGGCGCGTAGTCTGTGAGACCACACCTTAGTACTTAAAGGTTAATAAATTAAATATACTGATTCTTATATATGAAATTAAAGGAAGAAATCATAATATTGATGCAATTGAAGGGGAAAAGAGATGAACAAATATTTATAAATTTATTTGAAAACTAAAGACAAAATAATACTGATAATTTACTAAGTTTTAGATTAACAGAAAGTGGATGTATTATATTGTAGGTTTAAGCTTCATAAGTTTCAGAGGGTTACAAATAATGGTAAGTACCAAAAATATAGATAAAATTCGTTTATTTTGACCTTTCGATCTTGATATAGGACTTTGGTACAAATAATATGTAATTTAAATACTTCTTAAACTACTTCTTTCTCGTTCTTGCTGCTTCATTTAATCAACCTATCCCTTCTCTTTTTTCTCGTAATATTCTCATCACACTAACATTTTCAATTCCTATCTTATTTTTCTCATAGGCTCTTATTTCTATCTTATATCTTTTATTTCCATTTTAGTCACGTCAGAATCTGTAACATCTCGTTTTCTCTATAGCAGATTTTACACAATCTATTCTCGTCCGTTTTCTACTATCTATTATCTCTTTCTTCATTGTCAAATATCCATCTTGCTATTAATTTTTGGTTTCCTCTATTTCCTTACTTCTCCAGGTACTTCAGTAAATCTTCACTTCTTACTTTGTATGTATTTGTTTATTATATCTGGATAATTTAACTTAACCATTACTTTTATACAATTGAATCTGTCATCTTTAATCTGCTAGGCATGGGTTTCTCCCATTTAGTAGTTTATATATATGTATCACTCTGTAACATTTTTAAATACTTCACTATCTATATTCCTTCTTCTAGTCAGCTTCTCTTTGAATAGGTCTTTCTCTTACTATAATCTTCAATTTCATTCTATTTGTCTCTTTCAATATTATATACGTCGGAATGTAGTTGCCCAGATTTAGTATCGGTTTAAAGAATTTTATTTGTATTCATTATAATTAAATTTGGTTTTGTATCCTCAGACTTATGTTGCATAGATAATAATCCGCTTAAGGGGACTCCAGACCTCTTATTTATCATGCGAGTAAAATGTAAATGAAAATCAGAAACAACAGGATTTTGACAATTCTTTCCCACAGAGGAGAATAGGAGATATTCTGCAAGGTTAATAATCTTTTTGATACCACGTTCGTAGAAAAATAACTTTACAAAACCACCAAAAACTAAAATAGTAATCCGGCTCAAAAATTTCAATGTCAATTTGAATTTAAAAAGGGAAATATTTTTGTGTTAATTTTGCACAAATGGTGTGAAATGAATGTTAATCTTGTAGAATTTGTGCTCATCTCCAATTTGGTAAAGAATCTCTGTCAAAATCCTATTGCTTACAATTTTCATCTACATTTTATTTGAATGATAATAAGGAGCAGAGTCTTAATTAACTAATTAAAAAGCATTAAACCTTCTCTTGAAATTATCCTACTATCTTAATTTCCTTCCTTATAAGATATCTTTTCTATATCTTTTCCATTCTTTTGGAATCTATATAATGTATTTTCTTTCATGTCTTCCCTTTACTATCCATATTCGCTTTTCTTTCTTCTTGTCCCTTTTTGAAAGCACAGCATGCTTCATTTTTCTGTATTAACAATAACATCTGTTTCCTTCAGGTATTTTTTGAATCTCCTAAATATATCCTTTGTCAATTCTTTTTCCTTAGCTAACTTCCTACCTCCTATTACTCCTCCAAATTGTTCTTTTTTCCAAGTATTTATCAAGAACAGTACAATAAGCGTTACACTAGGTAGAGAGCCTTGTCTCAATACTCTTGTACATTCCAGTCCAAACATTTTTCAAAACTACACTTTCTATCTCAACTGTTTCTTGTTTCTATGTATATTTCGTTTAGACTGCTTTCAAATACATCAAAGAAGAACTAAGTTGAACGTTTTTTACTCAACTTCTTTTCTAAGATGCAGCTAAGGATAGATATGTTATCTGCCATATGTTTTATCCTTTCTAAACTCTACCTGTGTTTCTTAACCTTTATTCTAATCTATAGCATAAGTTTTATATTTTGTATTCTTCTACTTCCTTTTGTATATACAGCAATTTCATTGCTCCTTCTACCCACAGTAACAAAAATAATTCACACTGGTGTAACAATTAAAAAGAAGTTATTTTCTATTGTGAAATGCTAATGGACATCGATATTCATAATTTTAATAATGATTGTGGGATAGATAAATATCATCATTATTATAAGTTTAAGTTGAAAACTGATTTTATTCAACAGTATATAACATGTATTCAGTACTGTTTGTATTAATTCCAATTCATTGTAAATTCTTCTAAAGTATGATGTATCTTCTTATCCTTGTGCAAATATAATACTGACAATACATTCTATGAAATTAACCATAATCTTGGTACTACTCTTGCAGCAATTAAGCCAAAACTGAAAAAGACTAACTTAAATTTTAATGTGTGATGTCGATCTGAATTTCTTTTTCAGTATTTAATTAATGATTTGTAAGGTAGAATGTATCAGGAACTTTGATCATGAAAAACACTTAACAAAATTCTATTATTTACAATTTTTTAAACTAGAAATTCTATATGTTTGGTTATGATGTCCATTTACATTCAGACATAAATGCTACCATTCAATTAAAGCGAAAAAGTTATAATGTTCAATTAAAAAGGGAAAGACAAGAAATACATTGCACTTAAGAATTTACAATGAATTTAAATTCATGAAAATAATATTGAAAACATAATTTTAAATAAGTTTATTTTTAACCTAAACTTATAATGTATATTTATATATCCCATGGTCACCATTTAAATTGTGACTATCCATCTCTATTAACATTTCACATGAGCAAGGATTCTAATGATTCTTACCTTGCCAGAAACAGTTTCCCCATCATAATACAATAAGTGGCGTTCTTTCTTTCCATCTTCGGACTTAATATCTGCAGTCTTTCTGGTGTCAACACCATCCAAAGTAATCTCTATATCAGCAGATTGACCAAATCCAAAGAAACTCTAGAAAGATTTTAATAATAATAAATATGTATGCAATACACCATCAAAACGATAAAATACATTAATTATACAATGCTTTAGGGCAGATAGTATAAAGAGAAGTCGTCAAACGAGACTTACCATTTTTCAGAAAAAGGTCAAAACTCGTAAATGAGTACTCGATTCAATAAACAGTTCAAACCCGATGATGTATTAAGTAGGCACGATTAATTTATAATATTCCAAGGCATTATTATCATGGAGAAACGAGCACTCTTCGGTTATTTTTTGGTTCCTTCTTACCAAAAGTTACAAGTTGCCAATATGGTGACGCCCTCCACCCCTCGCTCTTTCGTGCCATTCGCCAACAAATTATTTAATAAAGTTCATACAAGAGGAACAAATTTAAGTTAGTATAACTGTAGTCGAACCCCAGTAAACCTTCCTTAATTTTGCTTTCAACAAAATGGAAGAGGATAGGAATGATATCTCCCGACACATCACCCGTCTAAAATACGACTGAATACGATCTTTCCTTCCAACCTTTCCTCATGGCTGTCCCCACAATGAGGGCTGCGTCAGTGACTACGTTTACACGACAGTTTTAAACCGGTTTAATTATTACTGATCTAAAGGAATTGACAAATCATGGATATCTCTACTTGTAAGGAATAATTGAAATTGTTTAATTCTATTAGATCAGGGGGTCGATTTTGTAACTTTAATGTAGTGAAGATGCTAAAAATGAATAGCTGTTAGCCAATCGCGTGTTAGGGTTAAAAGAAGATAAGCACAACGATTGGCTATTTTATGTCCCTGGAACTTTTGCTCTCGATACGTCACTGAGCGAAAAAAAATTTGACCAATAGCACACTTTGACAAAGATAGAGATAGTCTGAACCACGGTCTTACATGAGTGCGTTTCACTTATCGCCCGCAGAGATGAGTAGGGAGATTGTCAATGAGCCTGCTTCGGGTGGTCTCAATTTTTCTCTGGTTTCGGCGCGCTACTTTAGCAGAGGGCCCTCGAAGCAGTTCCACGTTTTTGATTGGTCGTGTATATAAAGTAATACTACGCGTGATAATCTGGAGCTGTGTTTTGGCGCGTCGACGCGCCACCTGAACGAGACTCTCGAACTAGTTCCACGTTTTTGATTGGTCGTGTATATAAAGTAATACTACGCGTGATAATCTGGAGCTGTGTTTTGGCGCGTCGACGCGCCACCTGAACGAGACTCTCGAACTAGTTCCACGTTTTTGATTGGTCGTGTATATAAAGTAATACTACGCGTGATAATCTGGAGCTGTGTTTTGGCGCGTCGACGCGCCACCTGAACGAGACTCTCGAACTAGTTCCACGTTTTTGATTGGTCGAATGAATTCGTGAGTTCCTCGAGATCCGCGACTTTAAACCGGGTGAACACTCAAATAGGGAGACTTGTATCCAACTTTTTTTTTACAGGATATTACATAAACCGTAGTAATAAGGTAGTCAATACTCTTAATAATCATATGAAGCTCTGCAAGTAATAGAGTAAGCAAATAAAACTTAAAAAAAACTCTCGAACGTGGGTAACAACACAAATATAAGTTTGCTAAATAATATACCACAATGACTCGATAGCACACGTGCTTGGTGTTGGATTAACGTCCGAGAGTCTCGAATTCGAAACGGGTCACTACAGAAATATAAAGTTTCCAATTTTTACAGCATAATGGCTCGGTAGCGTACGTGCTTGGTGCGGGGTTAACGTCCGAGAATCTCGAGTTCGGAACTCACGTCTCATCCCTTTTTTTTTTTCTCAATTATGAACTATGCTTATTGGTTCACCTAGTAAACTTAAGATTCAGTAAATATATGATTATATTAGTCTACAAATATTGTATTATATTACATCGTATACATGCAATAAAATGGTACATCAAACAGCGAACGTCTCTTCTTCCCGAGAGCCTACCTGTGACAAACACTTATGGTACGCTGTTTCCTTTTTTAATAGCATAAATAATATTCAGACGGATAAAGAAGGCATTACGAAAAAATACTTAACTCTGAATTATTTTTTACATCAGAACATACTGATAATTCGAGATATTAAAAATACAATTATCTGTCCGTAGGCTTGAATAAAAAAAAATTACTAAATTGAATCAGGCTACCCAAAAATGTATGAAACTAACAATTTCTAACCAGATACACTTATGCTTTTCATTTTTTTACCCGATATTAATAAGTGCAATTTTTGGGACATAAAATTAAAACAAAAAATGAAATGGAGAAATGTATCTATGTTAGAAATGCAAAAGTGTTAAGCGTTAAGCGAATGAAAGGAGATTTTTTTCCATTGCTGTCAATTTTTCTCTTACATCTTCATGAGAGTCCGTATCGCAACAAGTGAGGCTGTGCATTTCTACCAGCTATGGATTATCATGTACGAAGAATATGCATTGGGCGCGTTGGCAACGATTCAGTTTCCGTCAATTTTTCTCTTACGTCTTCATGAGAGTCCATATCGCAACAAGTGAGGCTGCTCAGTTCCACCAACTATGGATTATCATTTATGAACAACATGCATTGGGCGCGTTGGCAACGATTCAGCTTCGTAATCGTAAGGTGACGCGTTCGCGTCTGGAGACGAAAACTTTTTTGTTTAATTTTTTTAAGAGGTAATGCCACTCTAACGGCTCAAAAAAATAAAAAATTGTGGTCAATTATTATTAAAAAATAGCATATGTAATATAAAGTCTATTTAGATGAATTTATTGTACACTGAACGTCATTAATGTTGTCCAGCTTGTTGATGCAGCGCGGTGAGGTAAGAGAAAAGAGTGACTGTTTAACGGACGTATGTACCAGGATAGGTACGTGAAACGCAGCTAGCGTTATGGTGCGAGCGAGACGCGAAAGCGTCGTGTCCTTTTCGCACGCATGAGTGGGAGCGAGACGGCAATCCATGAGTCCCACTGAGTCGCACCTGGGAGTTTGGTGGGACATTAGCGCTAGCTAGCATGGTCAACAACGTAACCTACGTGAAGGTAGCATTGTAACATTTACATTTTGAACTTTTTTTGTTGTCAAATAACTGTTGGTTTTATGATGGTTTTTGGTGGACCAGTTAAAAAGTTTGGTTGTTGCCCATTTTTCTGGAAAATGGAAAATAAAATTTGGATTGTGAAGTTAGCCCCAAAAGTCTTATTTTTTATAAAAAAAAATTTTTTTGTATGGATTCGATGCCAAATTTTTTGGCGGTGACGAATTACCTAATTATAAAATTTCGTGGTAAGCGGTTTCGTTGAAAATAAAAAAAAACCGTACGCGCACCTGTGAAATGTGAAATTAGCCCCAATTGCATTCTCGATATCTCAAGAAAATCGCACGATTGGTTGAAAAGCCTTTTGTATATATGGAGAGAGGATAAGATTTGGAAAGAAAATAAGATTTCTGTCGCAAAAGCAATGGCCCTATTCTATTAAATTTTAAAACTATAAAGAATTTTATATGATACTATTTCTTTTTTTATTGATTGAACGTAACTTTGTGACGTGCAGGGCGTTATGACACGTCTAGTAAAGTTAATCTCCCTCGCTACGCGTGGAAGTTTATATTTATTCTTGTTCTGGGTAAGTTCTTGACTGCCGTCCTATACAGGCCCGGCCCCTTGAATTGTCGTTAGGTGGAGGAATTGGTGTATGGTCTATTTAAATCCCCCAAAAAACACTTACGTGTAAAAAACTACGCCAAGTACAGGAGTGCTGTGTATTCCTCTAATAAAAAGTATTGATATCAGATTATTGAGGCCAAGTACATAAGTCACTACATGTTTGCCTATTATATAATCTAGCACTGGCCCATCATTTTAATTGTATTTTCAAAATTTCCTGTAACGTTTTCACTACTCTTTTACATTACTACCGCTTCCCGTAGTTGATTATGATTTAATGGTCATTTAATAATTAATAAAACTTTAGGTGATTCTGTTTCGAGTACTACTTGGCGGGTTCGTGCATTTCTTGACATAAATTCGCGTTCATTATGCCAGTCATCGAACTCAAAACCAATGTCAACTTTCTATATACAGCTCATTCACAATAACTCGTCAAAAATAATCACGGTAAAAGCTTAATAACAAACATATAGTTTTAGGATACTATTAGTACGTTCAAAGTAAGTACTTTGGAATTTCTGGTACGGACCCGCCAAGTAGTACTCGATAAGGAAT